GTCTAAAGATTAAATCTAACTCACATGAACAATGCTAATTCCACATCACAGTTTACTCTTCACAATTTAAAGGAACCACGCTTATCTTACTCTGGCACCAAAGATAACAGAGGCTTTGGCTTTGGCAGAACTGCTCATGTACGCTAAAAAGCTCTTAAATGCCAAACTAGTGAAGCCAGCAGGCTCACATGTTTCAATACAGTTATCATGCAAGCCAGTCTTCAAGATGCTCGTTCTGCACACACAGAAAGAACATGTCTCCCATTTAAGTTAATTTACTAAAGACGAAAGAATCATTTGGGAATTACAAAAAGCAAAACTAGCTATTCTATTTCTACTCTATGCTCTGACTAAAGTCAGCTACATTAGTGAGCTATATTTTAAATTTCTCAGATTAATCAGGCTAGAATTACACAGTTAAAAGATGATATTCACTATACTAAAAGTAAAAATGCATGGTTTGTGTATTTTAAAATGAACACAAAAGTAGTTTGCCTTTAAAACATACGGCTGATCAGTATAACGCTTGTAACAAAGCAAGGTTAAAAAAAAAATCCCTCAAATATTTGTGATTAAATTGTTGAACCGGAATTGGCTCACCTCCCAATGACTTCACAAGTATCTGCTTCAATTAATATTGAGAAATAAAATAACCCAATCATTCTTTAGTTTTCTGATGCCTCTGCAAAATGTATCTGAAAAAAATATCAAAATAAATTGCTGCATAATAATATATAGTGTACCTTCAAGTCAAGTTCACGTCTATCCAAGCCTAATCAGAACGTTAGTTATACCTAAGAATGCTATGGATTTACCAAACTCTTGTTGGTTTCTGGTCCACACACGTCAATCAAATGTGCCTGTTTCTTTTATGAATCACATTCTCTTACTAGAGAATCTTAGAACATTAGAAACCCTAAGATTTTGTTCGGGCCCAGAAGGGAAAGGTCTGGGTGTAAGAACAGCTTCATGTTACCCATGTGATACAGATTCTTGTTCTAGCTAGTCCTTAAAATTACACAGTGGGAACGAGGCAAGTGTTGGCTCTTAAGAGGACATTCAAGCCATGAGCAAGAGCATCATTCCTAGGCGAGACTGCCATTCACAAGAATGCTCTAGAGGGGCTGGGGTTAACTCAGTGGTAGAGCTGCATAGTGTACAGAAGGCTCCGGGTTCTATCCCTAGAACCACATTAAAACAAAGCAAAAACACTCTAGAAAAGTAGCTTGAAATGAACAGCCACAGTACTACACATGTACATTTCTGTAAGTTTAAATTATCACCTCTAGTGGGGGGGGGAGGGGCATCAAGAAAGAGGGGTTTAAAAAGTCAAGTTTCTGAGAGCAAGCAGATACTACTACTAGACTCCAGACCTATCTTCAACTCAAATGGTATAGGCAGACATTCAATAAAAACTGACATTGCAAACCAGACAGCAAGGGAGGAGAGGCCACGCTCTTACTTACAGTTCGACAGATCATAGAGGTCTCGAAGTGTTTGGCGCATAGTCGATAATGCTTATTTAGCTGATCGGGGGTTTTGTCTTCTAAGTCTGCTCTCCTACAGTTTTCAACCCACTTCTGGCATCTATGAACAAAACCAAAATATAATTATGAAATATAAAGTCAAAGTTTAAATTTTAGCGTTTGGGCTGGGCATAGGAGCACACACCTATAATCTCAGTACTTGGGAGGTTGAGGCAGGAAGACTCTGAGTCTGAGACCAGCCTAAACTACATAGGAAACCTATCTCAAAAAATAATTAATCTGAGTCAGGCATGGTACATATATATTTTTTTTGGAGGGGGGTGTCTTTCAAGATAGGGTTTCCCTGTGTAACAGCCCTAGCTGTTCTGGAACTAGCTCTTGTAGTCCAGGCTGCCCTTAAACTCACAGGGATTCACCTGCCTCTGCAAGTGCTGGGATTAAAGGCGTGCGCCACCAAGGCCTGGCCTGATATACACACCTTTAATCCCAGGTGCTGGGATTAAACAAATAAATAAAATAAATATATTTGGAGCAGGCAATTATCTCTTTAAAAGGGTCACAGACCATACATAAAAGTTTAGTTAAAAATATATAAACATATTTATAAATAGATTCAAAACAGAAATCTGTGCCAAGTGTGGCACATGACTTTGATCCCAGCACTCAGGAAGAAGAAGCAGGCAGATTTCTGAGTTTGAGGTCAGCCTGGGCTGCAGAGTAAGTCAGGGTTACAAGAGAAACCCTGTCTTGAAAAACAAAAAGAAAAAGAAAAAACAAAAAACAAGTATCGACAATGTAGAGAAAGAGAAATCAGTCATTTGAAATTAATTTCTGTATGTAGTATAAAGATAACTATTTTCCCAGGGTATAGAACCTGGGACCTCACTTATGCTAATCAAGGTCTTTAGTGCTGAACTCCATCCCCTGGCTGAAGACACCTTTGGAATTTCCACCAAGCCTGCTGTCAGATGCCGCATTACAAATCAAACTTTTACTATTCCCCGACAAACTGTATTTCCCAAACTGTTTTATGTTAAAAGCCTCAGGAGTCTGGGAGAGATGGCTCAGTGGGTGGAAGCTGTGTCTGCAGCTCTAACCCTATGGGAGCAGAGACAGGAGGCTTGCCGGGGTTTGCTGGCCACTAGCCCAGCTACAGGTTCAGTACCCACACTACCCTCATACACATACATAATCTCGGGAGTTACCCTGGACTGTTTTCTCTTATAACCCACACCTAAACTATTGGCAAATTAAGTTGGCTTCATCGCCAAACTTTATCTAAAAACGCACAGTGTGCCTCTTCCTCCTCTTCTGATCTGGACTATTGCAACCGTTGATCCCTGGTCTTCCTGCTTTCGCTTTTGCTCCCCTACAATGAACAAGCAGCCAGAAATCCCTGGGAGAACCACTCTCAGCCCTAAGTTCTCCCGCTTCACTCAGAATAAACCCCAGAGTGTTTCCACAGACAACTTCCTGAACAGCTTGTGACTCCCATACACACCTCATCAGCAAGCATGCCTTGACTGCACTCTTCCTGTCTCCAGACTTCCTATGATATTTCATGGATGTCCCCTGCCCTAATTCAACTCTTTGCTCAAATTCACTGTGGTGAGACTTTTATTGCTCCCTCTGTTTAAAATAGCAATTGTGCCTCTCTTATTATCATTTTTTTTTTCTTTAAGTGGGTGAGACAAGATCTCACAACTGTAGCCCTAAATGTCCTGGAACTTGCTTTAACTCAGGCTAGCTTCAAAACTCAAGCTAATTCTCCTGCCTCCTCAGAGCTGGGATTACAGGGCAAGTCACCAAACGCAGCTCCCTGACTATGTTTTTTTTTTTTTTTAGTCTACTTATTTACATGCATGAGTGTATTACACTTTGAGCCTGGTACACACAAAGGCCAGAGGAGGTTGTGCATGAGATCCCCTGGAAACGGAGTTACAGGGGGTTAAGTCACCCGAGGTGGGCTCAGAACCCAGGTCTTCTGCAAGCGCAGCAAGTGCTCTTCAGCGCTGAGCCGTCTTTGCAGCCGCTCCCTGGCTACCTTTAAACTTCTTCCAACCTCTACTGTATTTTCCTTCAGGGTATTTTCTCATTTTGGGGGCACACTACTGTAAATATTTTACTTCCAGTTTCCCACCACTTGAACGTAACCTCTGAGAGCAGGGACTTTTCACTGGCTCATCTGTTACCCTGCGCTCAAACCAATTTCTACCAATTGTAGGCTTTCGATAAATATTTGTCCAACTAATAAATAGCATGCTACATTACAACGCCTGTTGATAGATCTGCTCCCTCCACGGATCAGGCGCTTTCTGCGGTTCCTGACAGCATTCCCAGGGTCCCCAGCACCTGACACGAGTACTCCAAACACGGCTAAGCACTGACTTTTAAATGAATGGACCAACAAGAGAGCCCCGTGAAAAGCCTGCTGCCTATCAATCACACTCAGTCCCTACGCCTCTCAGAGCACGACCCGGAGGATGAGCTGCCCCAAGCGAAGAGTGAAGTTTCAATACCTATTCCCACGCCCTCACACGCGTCCTCGGAGCTCCCCACAATAACCGAGGGAGACAATGAATAACGGTCCGCCTTTGAACACTGAGAGCGATGACAACCCCGAAGGAGGCAGCAGTTGTGACCCGATTGAAGATCAAAGCAAGCGGCCCGACTCCAAACAGAAACACCGTCCCAGGAGCAGAGGCAGGGCCGCCGGGACCGCAACCCGGGAGTCCTACCCTTCCCTTGACAGCTAGGAAAAACGAGCCGGACGACGGAAGCCGCTCGGCGCCCCCGGGGTGGCACCCTCTCGGCCGGGTCCCCGAGGGCGCAGCAGCGCACGTGCGTCCGACTCCCCGCAGCCTCCGCGCCCCGCGCTCACCTACCTGGCCGGGTCCCGAGGGAACCTGAAGAAGGCCAGGTCGGACTGCGTGCTCTTCCGTGTGCAGTTCGGGGCGGCGCAGAAGTTCGGCATGGTCGTCCGGGCACCGGCCGGTCCAGCCCTCCCCTCCCCGCCTCGTCAGGGCAGCAGCACGGCCGCCCCGCGGGGCCGGGGAGGGGAGCTGGGCCGGCCGGCCGGCCGGCTCTGCCAGGCCGCGCGCGCGGAGGAGGGGCTGGCAGGCGAAGCCGCGAGGGCCAGGAGGGGCGCGCGGGCCGAGGCCGGGCTGGGGCCGCGGCTCCACAGTGCTGTGAGCGGCCGGGAGGATTTACCGCCGCCGCCGCCGCTGCACCTCCAGCCCGCCCGGGACGCTGCCGCCTCCTTCCCACAATGCACCCTGGCGCTCGCGGGTGCCCTCTCTCCTCTCAGCCTCCTCCTCCTCTCCTCGCCGGCGACCTTTCCCGCGGGCGAGCGTGCGCACACGAGCCGAGCGCTTCCGACCGGGCGTGGGCTGGAGGCAGCGGAGCCCGGCGCCTCTGCCTCAGTGCGCACGCGCACAGCCCAACCCGCGCGATGGAGGCATTGCGCATGCGGCCTAGCCTCCCGGGACTCCGGAGCCAGCAGAAGCCAGGGCTTCTCCGGTAGGTTTGTCGTCCTTCAAGTCCCCGGGGCGAGTTCTGACATTACATCCACGGCCGCGTCATCCTGCTTTTTGAGTAGCCGCGCTTAGGCGTCCGTTGTATGGATGCCATAGACTCTTAGGACCACAGAATCCGCACGACTTTGGTGACTGCTTTGCAAACTCCGTGCACGGATTGGACGCAAACGTGGGGGTTGTAGAGGCTTTAATTTTTCCCAGCGTTGCCTCTCGGTTACTTTTATAACCCGGTTAGTGCGAGATTGCCAGCCCCACACCTCGACTAGACGCTAAGGGCGAAAATTCAGAAAAAGCAGAAACTTCCCTGGTGGCTTCTTGAAGAGCAGGAATAGCGAAATGATTAGGCCAGCAGCACCCTAGAGACTGATACCTCGGGGCTTCTCACCGTCGTGGCCTGATCATGTTCTTGTGTGACTTAATGCCGAAATGAGTGGTCGCTGTTTAGAGCAAAGGATTTGTATCAAGTTTTGCGTGAAATTGAACAAGTCTGCCAGTGAGACCCACCGTCTTTTGAAAGGGTTTAGGTAGGGCGGGAAGATGGCCTAAATGATGCGTAAAGAGTTCGTCCAGTCACGCACAGGACGGATGAAAATACCCAGAAAGTCAAGGACTCGGTTTTTTCAAACAGTTAACGGTGAGAATGCTGCTGAATGTTAGACTCATTCTGAAAGAAAACCTGAACATGAGAAAAACGTCTGCCAAAGTTCCAGCGAGTATTCTAAAGGATGAGCCTGAACTCGAGAAATTTGAATTCCCTCTGATTCATTCAAAGGAAATTACGAAAAGCCATTTTATAGTGAAGGAAAGGGTAACAAGTTCTGAGATGTGGAGTCCTTTGCAGCAGAAAGCTGGTGGGCAAATAACTCTGCCTGAATCCCAGAATCCAAGTCCCCACCCCCACCCCCGCCAGCCAGCTTCTGCAGGGGCCAGCCTCAGTCAGCAAGCATTTCCCCCTAGGGTGGCTCAGCATTGGTTCACATCCTGCTGAAATGAGCCTGAGGTCGCCAGAACCTGACCAGGGAGCTGTCCTCATCTGCTTTTCATCTCTGCCTCCTTCACGCTGGGCAGGATCCAGCTACATATAATACTGATCTATGGGGTCCTCTTCCTTGCTGTTCCCAACCTTCTTGGAGGGCTTGTGGCTGTTGACTTCTGGTGATAGTTTGTTTTTTTATTTCAGCAAGTGTGGCTCTCTCCAGTGCCTGTAGCTCGGCGTGGGGCTACCCTGTACATCCTGCTGTCCCAGGGGATCCTGCCAGTGAGAAGTGCGGGTCTAAGTCTATTTCTGTGTCTGGGGAGACATAATTTTCTGAGGGGACCCCAAAAGAAGTCCTGCAGTTTCAGCCCTGCTTCACAGTCAGGGCCTGAGAGGTGTGGTACAGAAGGCAGTGTGATCTAACCCGAATGACTCACGGTTGGCCTACAATAGTTAACCTCACAGAACTCCCTTCCTCCAACAGGAGAGTTAGGTGTGTCTCATTCTCCTGTACTTTGGACCACCATTCTTTTGGGTACCTTCTGCTAGAAGAGAAGGGTTGGCCCTAGAACATTTAAGCCATGGGACCCAGGTGAAGGCCGTGATGTCCCATGAAGAGACTAAGTGATTCCTCGGGTCTCACGTTAAGGGAGTCTGGGATGCGGTGCCGATTCACACACGACACTTATTTAGTTACTAAGGTCAAGTGTGTTTTGGATGGTGTGAAGCTCTGTAGCGAGATTGCTGAGGACAGGTGGGGTTGACGGAGGAGGTGGTTTTTAACTATGTCCGTGAAGAAGGGTGAGAGGAAGGACCATGAGACTGGAGGATGCACGGGAGGTGGTAGCATGAGGCGGTGTAAAAAGAAAAACACACTTTTAGTGTTAAAATACTTAGGTCGGGCGGGGGGCAGGTAGTGGTGTTGCAGACAAGGAATTTGAAAACTTTGGGCTTCCTCTCTTCTGACCTTAATTTTAATGCTAGTGGTTTATACATTGCTACCCCTATCTACAGGTAGGTTTATGATAAACTCCCTTGTTAGAGCTGCTAATTGGATTCCCCCGCTCCCCCCCCCCAAAATCAGGCTATACAAATATAAACAGTCTGTTCGTACCTTGCTGCCAGAGTTCATGGAATGAAACTTGTCTCAAGAGGGTTGCAAGTACTCCACGTGGGTGGAAAGCACCTCAGAAAGCCTAAGGGGGTGCAGAGGGAAGGGAGGCAACAGCATCTCAGCGCTGGCCAGTGTCTGCCTTACCCAGGGGCTCTGACACTTAGTGACTCACTTGGTAAGAAATAATACTGGTTCATAATCCTGAGAGCATCCTGCTTTCAAAAGGTCTCAAGGCCAGGTGTGGCAGCACACACCCACAGACTTGGCAGGCAGAAGCAGGTGGACCTTCAGTTGTGAAGTTCCTTGAAAGCTAGATCTCTTGTCGTCTAGCAAAGCTCTTGAAGCGGGGGTGGAGAGATGGCTCAGCAGATTCAGAGCACCGACTTCTTCCAGAGGACCCGTGTTCAAATCCCAGCACCCACGTGGAAGCTCACACAAAGATACATGCAGGCGTAACACCAATTCAGTTCGCATGACATAAAAATAAATATATTGGGGGCTGGAGAGATGGCTCAGAGGTTAAGAGCATTGCCTGCTCTTCCAAAGGTCCTGAGTTCAATTCCCAGCAACCACATGGTGGCTCACAACCATCTGCAATGAGGTCTGGTGCCCTCTTCTGGCCTGCAGGCATACACACAGACAGAATATTGTATACATAATAAATAAATATTAAAAAATAAATAAATAGGGGCTGGAGAGATGGCTCAGTGGTTAAGAGCATTGCCTGCTCTTCCAAAGGTCCTGAGTTCAATTCCCAGCAACCACATGGTGGCTCATAACCATCTGTAAAGAGGTCTGTCGCCCTCTTCTGGCCTTCAGGCATACACACAACAGAATATTGTATACATAATAAATAAATATTAAAAAAACCACTTACCAAATTCATTTAAAATAAATAAATAAATAAATATATCTGGGAGCTGGAGAGATGGCTCAGTAGTTAAGAGTGGTTCTTGTAGAGAAACTGGGCTCATTTCCCAGCACCTACATGGCAGCTCACAACTGTCTTTAATTCCAGTTCCAGACGACCTAACACCCATAGCAAAACACCAGTGCGCATAAAATGAAAACTATTTTTTAAAAAGTATATATTAAAAAAAAATAAAAACAAGCAGCACCTTACAGACTTCTCCCTGCTTAGTCGTTCCAAGACATCCCACTTCTAGGTCATCCTGTGAGATGAAGTTCTGGTTCCTCCATGCTTGCCACCCAGGACAGTACAGCTTAGGATGAAGTCCCCACTATCGCAATAATTTTGATAAATTTATTGATCTTTGCTCTGGCCTTGTAATCATTACAGAATAGTGTGTCCAGGGGCACAGACAAGGATCCCACAACCCCTACTTTCAGGTCTTATCTCCTGTTACTTTATTTTACTTTATTTTGTTTTTTTTGAGACGGTCTCTTCACCAGAGATCCTCCTGTCTTGGCCTCCCAGGTGCTGGGATTAGAGGCGTGAGCCACCACTCCTGGCTCTCACTTATAGCACAGATCCCGAGAGAAGTGGTTTCTGGGTTTATTTCATCCTGTAAACAGGGTTAGAGTGAACCCGGCAGTGATGCTGGACTGAGACCCATATTGAAATACAAGGCCCCAGAAGTAAAATGGTCTTGGTTAGGGTTTAAACACAGAATACTCAGAAGCAGATGTTGGGAGTGTGAACTCAGATTGTTCTAAGTGGTTTCCAAAAAGGGACTTAATTTATTATTATTATTATTATTTTGGTTTTGGTTTTTCGAGACAGGGTTTCTCTGTAGCTCTCCGTGCCCGTCCCGGAATTAGCTCTTGTAGACCAGGCTGGCCTCGAACTCCCAGAGATCCGCCTGCCTCTGCCTCCCCAGTGCTGGGATTAAAAGCGTGCGCCACCGCCCGGCGGGACTTAGTTTATTAACCGAAGTCAAGACCCATGTAGCGGTCAGATTGAAGAGCCATTTCAGTCCATTACTCCTTTGCAAGGCTTTCCCAGACATACTCAGCAGTGGCAGGATGTCTCAGATTTGGGGGAGGTAAAATTACCGCCCTGACTTTTAGTCCACTTTCATATGACTGCAGCATCACTGAACCCAGCGGCAGAGCCTTGGCTCCTGGGTGACCGGAGAGCTCTAGCCCAGCAGCGCTTGCTGAGTGCCTGTCGTAGCTGATGGCCTGCACCTCACTGCGCAGGCTTCCTGAGTTCCTGGTCCATGTAGACTGAGATCCAGCTATGGTTCTGGGCCACACCTGGAGGTGTGGCTGCCTTAGGCCTTTGGTGTGGTGTGATTTTCCTTCCTGATCTTTGGACCGTCTTCCTGCCCCCCCCCCCCCCCCCCCCCCCCCCCCCCACTGAAGCTGTGGTCCCACTGAAGCACGCCGTTTCTGCTTCAGCCCTGGTTCCAAACTGTCTTCCCGCACCGCGGAGTGGGATGGGGAGGGGCTAGTGGCCAAGCCCTCCCTTAGCAATCACAAGGATTGGGTACCTCTGGGCCCTAGAGTCAGGAAGCCTTTTCAGAGCTGTAGCTAGTCCCCTTCTCCCTGGCAGGAGGTCAAGCCTGGCGTTTTGTGACGTCGAGAGAGCTGGCCATCTGCGCGCCTTGCGCCATTCTCAGGCTTCGTTATGTATCGTGACACTGATAGCGCTACTACAATCATATACAGTGATAGCCCATCATCTTACTCCCGGCTCTCCTTCATTCCTCCTCTGATTCCGAGTCAGCTCCATGCTACTGTACTCCGTGTTACTGCCAGATACCTTCTAGGAAGGTACCATTCCGTCTCTGATTTTTGTCTACCTTTCTCTGTCTCAATCGCCTCATCTTGCTTTCTGTCCCACGCAAAGTAATGAAATAAATCATCTTTTGGGGGGGAGGCAACATTTCATTGCTTTATTTTTGTTGGTGGTGGTTGGTTTCTCTGTGACAGCCCTGGCTTTACAAACTAGGCTGACCTCAAACTCAGAGATTCGCCTGCCTCTGCCTCCCAGCTGCTGGGATTAAAGGCGTGCGCCTCTGCTGCACAGTTGATTTTTTTTTAATAACATTTTTAAACAGCGTTTTTTATAGCGTTTTTGGCCAAATGTTTACCAAATCTTTGATTTGAAGAAACAAACAACCAGGCAATGGTGGCACACACCTTTAATCCCAGCAGTTGGATTCAGAGGCTGAGGCAGGGGGATCTCTGTGAGTTCAAAGCCAACCTGATCAACAGAGTGAGTCCCAGGACAGCCAGGACTGATACACAGAGAGCCTTTCTCAAAATACTAAAAAACAAAACTCTGTGTATGGGTACTTGTGACCAACGCTGGTGTGTCCTTTTCGGTGAATCCGTTTTTATTTAGCCTAAACAGATCTCTCTTGTCCTCATTGGAACGGCTTTCCCAGGGCTTTGGTAGAATTTCAGATGGAGCAGACCTTTACAAGACTGCTCCATCAGTGTTTCCCAGGAACTGGTAGTGACCAAACCCTCCGGCAGCCGTCTGAAAGAAGATTCTGTGTTAATTCACTCAACAGATGTTACTGAGTGGCTCCCGTGCCAGGTACCGTCCTGTGAGCTGGAATACAGCAACGGACAAAAGTGAGCCCCAGCCTTGGGTTTGGCCCCTCTGCTGAAGACTGCGGTCACGTGTGCTCACACTAACTCACTAGTAATGGCAGCCCTGGAAATAGGGATGGCCTTTGCCATAGGCCTCTGCGCCAGAAGTCACTGTGCCTCTCCAGCGTCATTAGGAACCCACGGACTGTAT